GATGTTCATGATGTCCATGATGTTATGCACAAGTATATATGTACAAGAAAATCAAGCAAGTTCCTAGTTTAGGCTTGCATGGGGTTTCATAGGTAAGTACCCTCTTGAAGTTTAGTTGGCTCAACCTGTCCTAGTAATAGTAACCGGGTTATAAGGAGCTCAATATCACTGGATTGTTTCCTTGTTCATTGTTTCAGTTCAATCCTCTTGACTGGTGACCGAAATATTCCAAGAAATCAACCCTCAATGAGTGTAGTATCGAGTATCTACCAACTTCGGACTGCACCAAAGCCGATCATCTCACTACATCCTAAAAGACCAAGTTGGTCAAGTAAAGGTTCTAGAAGTTCGTTAGTGCTTCATGACATCACTCAGCGGCCCCGTATTCTCTTTGATTGACTCAAAGGCTACCGGTACCCACAAATATGTCACACTAACATAGCTATTGCTTAGATCGTGTCGGTATACCCCGCACAGTTTCCACAACGTATTGCTATTTACCTATAATGTTTTCCCAAATCCGGGTGGAGGATTCAAACCCAAACAATAGAACCAAAATGTAAAGCAAACAAGTCAAATAAGGTAAGCAAATAAATGTGATCTAAACCCTAAGGTAACCCCACTTTTATAATTTTCCCCAGTAGAGTCCCCAGTTCTGTGATGCGGTGGGAGAACTGACTTGAGGTTTTGCGTTTGTGTTCGCAAATGTTGCGGTTAGCAAGAGTCGCCACCGACTTTTCTTTTATCCAAAAGGAAAGGTGAAAAAGCACAAGAAAGACCTTTGAGATGTTTTCTTGAGTTCGGGGGGTAGATTATGAAAAGGGAAGGTGCTATCACCCTTTTCATCCATGGTTTTCCATGGGCTCTTAGTTACTTGTTTAGATCACTTGCTTTGTTTTGTTTGAAATGGTGTTTGGTGTGATTTTGAAATATTTTGTAAAAGAGGCCATTGTTTAGGCAATCTTTGTAATGATTCTCGTTCGTAAGAATGTATACAAAGATGTTTGTCTTTTGAAAATGTTTTCAATGTTTTGTAAGATGTTTTAAAATGTGTGTGTGTTTGCTTTTGAAAATAGCAAGGATTGTTTTGAAATTGATCAAGTAACTAGAAGCTATCTACCTACTCAAATGGCTTTCTTGTGCATTTTTATTCCTTTGACATTGTTGACTTACCATTGATTTGGTAAGCAACCCTATCTTTGGATGTAAACGGGACGGGTGTGGGTCATCGTATAGCCATGATTAGCAATTTTGCAAAGTATCTTAGTATTTTCGAGAGACTAAGATCATTTTTGTAAGGCAACTTTGAATAGCGTCATCGAGGGACTATGATCTTATATTTTTGTTTGTTTTACCAAGATACTTTGTATGCATAACATGGCTATTTTGTAAGGCAACCGAGTGGAGATACCTTAAGGGTGTTTGTGTGCAAGTGTGTTTTATTGCATGCATGATTTTATCTTGAATTAGGATTTTCTATTTCATTGATTTTATCTTGCCATACATGTCCTAATTGCTAGCATATACATTGGAAAGCGATAAGAATGCGGAAATGTAGAGTCCTACGCTATTACAATTAGGGGGTGGGGGATACACACTTATAAATGGGGAATCCAGCGAGAAAAATAAAGAAAAATAACAAGGGGAAGAAAAAAAGAAAGAAGGAGGGGGTCAGCGCGCTGCTGAGAGGAAGTCAGAAGTTCTGACCCAGGCCTGTTGTAGGATATCAACCTGTTAGTGAAAATATATGGGTCAGAGCTTCTGACCCTGGTGCGCTGCAAAACAGAAACCTGTTAGTGGGGAGGTCAGAAGTTCTGACCCCAATGCGCTGCAAAACAAAAACCTGTTAGTGGGGAGGTCAGAAGTTCTGACCCTGCTGGGAGCACAATAATTTTCAGAAGTTTTGATATTATTGATAACAAAACAGGCATCGGAAGTGCTGGCGTCATAGTCAGAACTTAGTTTCCCCCTGTGCTAGTCAAAACATCTGCAATTTGGTTATTTCTTCCCAAAACATAAGATATGCCTAAGACATTTTCAGCAGGTATCATGGCGCTTCAGAAATAAGGAGAATCAGAAACAAAAATTAGAGGCAAGTATGCCTTTGCTAATTCTAACTCTGAGTTTCAGTTTCTTCAAGGTAGTTCTGAACTGATTCGTTCTCCACTTAAGCATGCAGAGGCGTAAAAATATCAGAATATAAACAACATCAGAAGCATGATATCTACATTGTGTTTAATAAGCATGCAAATTTGATGATGCTTAAGCAGCGTGGTAAGAGTCAGCAGGTGCTTACCTTGTTGTTAGAAGGAAATCTGTGAATTGGAGCTAGCCTTAACTCTGATGGTGTTCTGGACAGGGTTTTTTTTGAATGGGTAGATGGAGAGTATATATGTATGGTCAGAGACTGTATGGGCGTTCTTTAGTTAGGAAACAAATTGGGTGCAAATGAAGTTTTAAGGCAGGAGATTCAAAGCTGTGTTTGAGGCTCTTGAAACACTAAGAATTTTGACAGAGTTTCAAGGTGTTTTTTTGCTAAAAATTTATGTTTCTTTTCTAGCAATTTTTCTGATGTCCCCTTTTCAATGGACAATGGTGCTCTATTTATAGGCAAAGCTTTGTGAGTTTTTTAAACTTTAAGTGGCGCCAATATCATGCATTAAATGCTGACTTATTTTTGAAGAAAAGTTCCTAAAAAGTTGTGATGATTGACAGCTTTGAGCCTAGGCTGGGTTAGTAAGCGAGGATTAAGGAAAAGTGACACCCATGAGCGAAAAGTAGCGCATGAACCCATACCTAAATCTGCACAGGAACGTTGTTATGCCACACATGGAGAGACCCCTTGGATGAATGCTCAAAAGTGGTTGTGAGTATTAATGAGCATTAAATGGTGATGAGATTTTTCAAAATCAGAAATCATGTAATATGGGATTTTGCATCATTACCTAAACCTGAGCCAGCAGTTCTGCTTCATCATAAAACAACACAACCAAGCTCTGATCTTGGCCTCCTGCTGCCTCAGCAAATTCTGAGGATTCTCCAGACTTTCTAGCATGTTCCTTGGATTTGTTTCTGAAAATCCTGGACTTAGAGATTCTGTGTCAGTGTAACACCCACTCTTCTGACCCCTTCATCTTCTGATTCCAGCATGTTCTGAAGGAGTCTTCAGGCTTCTTTGCTTACTTTGCATTCCTCTAGCAAACTCTGGCTGAACTTGCGTAACTGCTGAAAGAGCCATGTTCTGTTTGAAGATTACATGCTGAACCATATTTACAACCTCTAACTGAGTTGGTGTAGCTGTTGAAGAGCCACCTTCTGACTGAATGTTATGTGTTGAGTCAAGTTTGCAACTTCTGACTATTTCTGCCTGGAGGTTGGTTCAGAAGTTCTAAAGTGCCATTTTTCTTAAATACTTTAGAAAAAATTCTTAGTATTTATAATTTATCTTTTTCAAGGTAAAATTTGACTTTTGGGCTTGCAAATGACCACTTTGCTCTTGTAAATGGTTTACTTGGAAAGAAATGATAATTCAGGGCTTGGATTTGTTTAAGAGAAACTCTGAGAATCCAAGATGATTTCCTGAAGAATGAGAGGGCAAATTTTGGGGTACAACAAGAGGATAATGATCAACAAAAGGAAAAATAAAATCCAACTAGGAGGGCCTTTTTGTAGTCAATGTTGAACATAAGTGGAATCCGTTATACATGTCTTACATGAATGTCCTTTACCTTTTCCTATTTCAAATATTATGGTAAGTTGGATATGAGAGACTCTTTTTTCACTAGTAATATTAAGGAGTGATTGAATACTAATTTGTATTTAAAATTTTGTATTAGTGGTGATCTGCCATGGTTGGAACATTGGGCAACCTCTTTCCATGCTTTTTGGATGTGGAGGAAAAAGGAACAACACAATGAGAATTTTGTGAGACCTAGAGTTTTGTTAGACCTGAAATTTTGTGGCGGCATGTTACTAAACTTGCTCGTGGGTATTTTTTGGTAGTGGAATTGCATGGTAGTAAGATGGATTTGGCTCGAGCAGCTAAGCAAATAAGGTGGTCTCCTTCTCGTTCGAATTGAGTGAGATTGAACATGGATGAAGATAGTGAGAATGACTTGTCAGTTGGATGTGGTGGTCTTCTAAGAGGTTGTACAGGTGAGTGTCTTGGAGGCTTCACAATATATTTGGATTCTTGTAGTGTATATATTGTTAAACTTTGGAGTGTGCTAGAAGGATTAAGATTAGAAAAAGAGCTTGAGTTTTGAGCTATTGAGCTTCAGATAGATTCTAAAATTATTGTTCAAAACATTTTGGATTCTGTACATAGTAGTATATATAATTAGAATGCAATTGATCCAATAAATTTAATAATTATTCAAACTGGACTGTGAGATACATGTTTGTGATATTTACCGTGAATCGAACACTTGTACAGATGCATTGATCAACATAAAATATGATCTAAATCTTAATTTAATATTCTATGAGCGAGTTCATGCTCAAATTTCTCTTATTTTATTAACTTGTTATATTTGTATTGAAATCTCTACTCCTAAATTAATTGTTATATACTCTTTTTCTCTGTGTTAAGACTTTCTTTTCTTCTTAAAAAAAAAAACAATTTCATCCTTCACTATTCTTTGAAATCAATGGAACAAACCAAATGAAATAGTCATACAATTTGTCTTATCTCCATGAATTTCAACTCAACCATTAAACACGTACTCAAATCCGTACCATTTCACTAAACATTACATTTTATTCATTTATTTATTCATTTACATTCAAAAACCACAAAACAAATCAAAGAAAATTGTTAATTAACTTTGATTAATTCCCTTTAATAAAGATATCTAATATCTTTATCCACCCTACCGCAGTCCTATACAACATAATTTGATGTATGGACTGATTATGACACTTCAATAATAATAATAATAATAATAATAATAATAATATTCTTAATCAATTAATTAAATTAAATCTTATTATTATAGCCTCTAATCTAACTCTATGGTGCTATGGCTGCTCTTTCTAACCACATCTTCTTCTTCATTGGGTTTCCATATTTTCTTGCATGATGAACAAATGTTCCAATCTGCACCTTTAGAGGATGATTGACTTGTGTTTGGTGCACCAACTTTTAATGCACGTAACTCTACTAATTCCCTCTTCAGCTTGAGATTTTCTTCACTTAGTTTGTCATGACATTTCTTTAGGAATATGCAGTTTACTTCGGTTTGTTTCAGCTTTGTCCTGAAAAGTCAAAGTCAAGACACAAATATTATGTTGTTTAATCGAAAAAATTGTAGTGGTGGACAATCTAATCAAAAAATTAATTAAAACAATTTAACATAATTATTTTTCTTATTTTATAAGATTTATTTGAAATTGTCAAATGTATTCATTTTTTATACAATTCATTTCATATCATAATAAGTATTGCTTATTATTTTTATTATATTTTGACCATATCTTAATTATTATAAATATTAAATAAAAAAATTGAAAGTGATATACACTAACATTAATTACATTATACCATTGAAAATTTTTCAAAAAAAATTTGAAAGCAATATTTTTTATTTCAAAATATCAATGATCCATTAATATTGATTTTACTATTATACCTCTTAATTTTTTTTAAAGAAAAAATCATTTTTATATATTATTTCTCGTTTAAAGTACTTTATTTTGTTATTTCTTGTGTCATTGATAAAATGTGATTTTGTAAAGTAATACAAAATCTCTTTTTATAAAAAATTAAATACATTTTTTTTTTTTTGTGTAATTTCTAAAGTGATATATACTATGTGACAAACTAAGTATTACTTTTATTCAATTGAATTCATTTTAGTCAAAAAATAATAAATTGGATAATTTACCAACACAAACTTTTTTTGAAAAGACACTATTTTGTGGATGAATTCAGCGGCAGTCAAGGAAAAAATGATGAAACCCATCATTCAAAAACCAGAAACAGGAATAATAAAACACAATTGAGTAAAAGGAAAATTTATAATTATTTAAAATAAAAAACTTTGTTACCACGAAAACAATCACCGCAAAAAATGTTGATAATGATATTATTATTTATTCTTTTTACAATAAGAAAAAAATTATGGTTAATTTACATTCTATCACAATATTTTTTTAATTGAAATTGCAAAAGCTTTACCGCAACCAGCGACTGTTTTTTTTAATGATAATTAAGATCAAATTACAACTAAAAATGAAAATTTATATAAAAGATTGAAAATTGAATACCTTGCTCTTCTGTTCTGAAACCAAACCTCAACCTGTCTTTGCTTTAAATTCAATTTCTCAGCAAGTGCCCGTTTTTGAGCCTGCATGTGAAACCGAAACTAAAAATTAAATTAAATCCCTTAATTTCTAATAAATATAAAAACATAACTAATGACAATAAAAGAATTAATATACAACAAAAAACTGAAATAAAAAAACAATTAATCAAAAAACAAAATTAAATCTATTTTATAAAATTTAAAATATAAAGAAATAAAATTCAAAGAATTATATATTACAGTGTTGATGGTGTTATGAAGCTTGAAAGCATCTTCAAGCATGGTAGATTGCTCCTTTGTAAGCCTCAATTTCTTTGTGCACCCGTTCCTGTCATTGGTGGTGTTAATAGCAATTTCTTCATCTTCTTCTTCAACTTGTTCATCAGCATAGCCTCTCTTCAAACTCAACTCAAAGGCTAAATCATTTTTTGAATTAACCAATGATTTGCTCACATTTTTTTCCACATGGAATCCTAATCCAAGTTGAAGATTAAGATCCAACGTGGATGTTTTGTGATTATCATCATCATTCATGGTAGAGAATGAAGAGAAAGAAAGAAAAAAAAGGTTGAAGTTTTTGTGAATTATAGTCAAAGAGGAAAGTGGAGAGTTTTAAATATTGGGTTTGGTCTTATTCTTTGTGAATAAATTTCAATCTTTTGTTATTGGCTTCTTGTATTTATCATGAAAAATAGAGGTTGTGCATGTAGAGGTAATAATAAAAAATAATAATAAAAATAATAATAATATTCATAATAATATTAATGATGACTTGTACCATAAATGCAATAATAAAATGAGGGGGAAAGGAGTAAAAGCATGCGTTAGAATTCTGACTCCTTTTAGGAAACCAAAACTTTCTTAAATGACATAAAATGTTTGACTTTTTATTATTTTATTTTGAGACATGTTAGATTCAGTCACAACAAAATATTTTTCTTATCACTTTCATATATGATAGTGCTATTCACCCTTAGATCTCACAAGTAATAATAATAATATTTAGTTGGGTTGGAAAATTATTAAAATATTACTAAATACTTTAATTTGAGTCAATGAATTAGTATTTGTAAATGTTATATTAAAACTATATTATTTTAATTTGAATTTATTTGAACGATTTGGTCTAATTATGGTTGAATTAACATAATAATTAAATAATTGTTTGAGCAGTTTTGATGCATTATATTGAATAAAATTTTAAAAAGTGTTTTAAGGTTGAATCTATGAATATTGAATTAGAATGTTTTTTCATAAAGAAATTATATTATATTACAAAAAATATTTCATATTACATAAAATAAAATATTAATTTACAATGTTGAAATTATGATACCTTTCTTTTTGACTCAATTCAATTTATGATACATGAACAACAAAACAATTTTTTTTGTTATATGAATTAGATATTTTTTACTTGTAAATATAGAGATTAATTCTTTAAGTCGGAAAAGACCATAATAAGCAACAAAATTTTCCTTAAAAAAGTCATCTTTGTTTTGTTATTTGTGCGCGAAACTATTGAAACTAATTCCTCAAATTGAAAAGAATCACAATAAACGATAAAATTTTCTTTCAAAAGATGTAATATTACTACATTCGTAAGACTAAATTTAAATCTAAAATTTATGATTAAGTGGAAAAAAATCACAATCATCTTATTTAAATTATTTTCAGTAGACAAACATTGTGAATTTATAATAATATTTATTTTTAGTAAATAAAGAATACTTGTTTATATATATATATATATATATATATATATATATATATATATATATATATATATATATATATATATATATATATATATATATATATATATATATATATATATATATATATATATATATATATATATATATATATATATATATATATATATATATATATATATATATATATATATATATATATATATATATATATGAAAAATAATTGACAATGGTTTTATGTTAAAATGCACATGAAGGAGTATTGTGAATTTATGTGTTTGTAGGTATAATATCTGCAACTCAACGGTTAGATAATCTCAATAATTTTATGATGACAATATTATTAAGTAAAGTTTTCATCTGAAATGATGATCAAGATGTCTTGTTTGTAAAAGCCAATGGACAACTCTTAATGTCAAGTGGTGTTCGGTAGAATTGTTAATAATCTCTAATAAAAAATATCTTTGATAGTGATGTCTACCAAGAAGTTTTATGAAACATCATCAATTATAATAAGTCAAGTCCTAAATGAACCATTGACACATTGATAGTCAAACAATAGATCTTAAAACTTGAAAGATTGTGAAAGAGAGAATGTGTGAAAGTTTGACTGATTATGTCTGAATGATTAGAGTATTGCAAAGATATTAGAATAATTTTTAAATTACTAAGACAATGCACACATTCACCTAAAAATATTTTAAACTTCTTTAAATTTACTAAAGCACCTTAAATCTATAGAAGAACCATCAAGATGCATGTGAGATTCATCAAGGATGTCCTTAAATATTTATGAAGCTTGTATACATTGTATAATTGGTTAAGGCCCTTAGAAAATTGATTAGAGAAAAGCATAATACTTCTTAATTGATTAAGAATGCTCTAAATTAATTAAGAAATTAGTCATCGTAGGTTTTCTCTTTTGAGAATTAGGATTGTCGTATTTTGAAGCCCATAATCGATTAATCCTATAGTTTAACGATTATGACATTTAAAGACCCATAAATATTTTTTCCTTTTTGAGCCACAATATTCATCTACAAGTAAAGGGTCTCTCTCCACTTTCAAAATACACTAAAAAGTGTATTTTTACATACTTTCTTACTTTCTAACTCTCTATATTTCATTTCTTTGTTTTTCACCTAATTGCCTTAGTGATTTTATAATGAAAAATATGAAGTGAGGTTTTTATTTGTTTTGGTGATGGGGTTAGTGTTGTAATTTACCCCAAGAGGATTTTATATGTTATGTAATATCTCTTGTGAGAAATTGTTGTTTGGTTTGTAAGCTAAATCAATAAAAGCTTCTATTTGTCTTGTGAGATTGTCTATGAAAATCTCTGTTTGGTTTTTGTGCTTAATGTAGTGTAAAAAAATCTCACTGTGTTCGTGAAATTGTCTGTCGAAATCTCTATTTAGTTCGTGAGCTTAACTTGGTGTAAAAGGTCTCGTTTGGTTTCGAGATTAAAACTGATGTAAAATCTCGTGTTTGGTTTGGAGGACAATCAATGAAAACTTATGTTTATTTGTAAGAATATTTGTAGACATAACCTGTGAAAAATCTCCCACATATAGTAGAAACTCTCAAGAAAAAGTTCTTGAGGAGATGAGTAGAGTAAGTGATTAGGCCAAATATCTATAAATATCTGGTATAATTCTCTCAACTTCTATCTCTTTATATTTTCTCCATTTACTTATTTCCAATGAGTTTCCTTTACTTTGATTTCCCTTTCTTTACTTATTTCGCTACATATTCTTTATTTGATTTACAAACTTATTTTAAATAAACATTTTTATTAAAGAATTTTTAATTAGACATTATTTTTTAAATCTACACAATTCACATTCCCCTCTTATATTTGGAATCTCCTATCTAAAAAATATGAGTTTCTAATTTATATTATCATATCATTTCCAATATAAAAAATACATTCAAAAAGTAGAAAAAATATATTGAAATAACTAAATCAAACAATAACTATCAATTGAGATTGAGTCTAATGAAATAAATCAATAACCTCGTTATCTCATAAACTTATAAAACTATATTCAATAGAGATAACTTAGGGCAACATAAAAAAGAAATTATTATAAATTAATTCCTTTCTTCTTGAACAACAAAGAGAAATATATAATAAATAGGATCAACTGAAGGTCCCATAAGAAATAGAAAGTATAATACATGTACTAAATGTACCTAAATAAGGAAAAAGAAATAAGGCAGCATAATTGAAAAAAAGGAATAAAGAATAACATAATCACAATACAAACCAACAAACCAAAATAACTGGTCCAAAAAAAAGAAGAAATTGGGTCCAAATCTTGTATCAATAGAAATGGGAAGCTACTCACAACAACGTAACCGCCATCAATAGAAGAGAATCCTTTGGAAAAATACTGATAACACTCAATTTGAAGGTGAAATTCAATCTACCCTCTATTAGCTCAGAAAAAGAATAATGTTCTAAAACCAAACAGAAAAAGCACAATAGTTACTCATATAACTATCAAGAAACTATTTTCAAGGAAAAATATGCTTTTATCTAACACAATATTAAGGGTGTGCATTTAAACCGGTTTATCTAATTCATAATCATAAATTTAGTTATCAAATTAAAAAAATCCAAATCACATTTGTTATTAACTGATCCAATCTATTTTAAGAAAACCAATAACATTTAGTTAACCATTTATGAAATCCGGTTATAATCCAATTCACTTAAAATTTGTAAAAGATCTTTTCTCTTATCTTTCACAAAGACAAACTTATTATAAATGACTCTGCTCACGGTATTCGTGAGACTAGAATTCAAGTTAGTATATATCAAAATAATATTGAAAAATCTCTATTTTAGATCTCAACATTAAATATTCTACAATAAATATTATTCTCTCTCAGTTGTAAAATATAAACTCTTAGGTGTATTTCAAATATGTTTAAAATATCTTATATGTATGTATAAAATGAATTTTTACTTTTTATATTTCAAAATACTTTATAATATTAATTAAGATTAACAGTTTTTTATGTTAATATTTACCGAAAAGGCACAGTTCTAGACACTTTTCATTTCATTGTATTAGTAAACAATTAAGAGAGAGAATATTATTAAAAAATAAATAAAGCAGTATTCATAAATCTATAACATAACAAAATAAAACGGTTAAGGAGTCATGCAATGTTTATCATTATAATATATATCAAAATTTCAAAATCGATTAAGGCAAAAATATTGATCAAAGAAATAAAGAAAAACTGATATATTGATATAAACCGGTTTTAAGACCGGGTCAAATAAAAAAATGATTTTTAATAAAAAATAGATTTAAATTAAATTGATCCAAATATAAATTAATTTTGAAAAAATAAACTAGTTTTATAAAAACAATTTCAAGAACCAAACCAAACTATATATATGATCCAATTCGGTTTGATTTATGAACCATGCACACCCTTACACAATATCATTCTAAAATTTTCATATTCACCACACGATATAATGCCAAATCATAAAAAGGTTGCCCTTGATCTTAGGCATAGCCCCCAACCAACTAAAAACCTTAAAAGAGGGGGCAAGATTCCTAAGAAACACTAAACACCAATTCAACCACCTCAAAAATCTTATACAAGCCAGGCACTATTAAGTAACAAGTCACAAAAAGATAAAAAAATATATTTAATTTTTTCCTACATAGAGTAAACTAATTGATTTATAAATAAAACTAAAATCATTTTTAATAATTAACATTTTCTATAATGTAATTGTTTAAATAAATAGGTATATATTTAAAAAATAAAAAATACTACTAAGCAGTTAGT